TCTCAAAGCCGACCTTCTGAAAGCCTTCACACACATAAACAGTAATTTAGATCAACATATCCGAAGGCTGGAAGAGGTCGTTCTCTATACAGACGGTTGGGTACAAGTCGGCAACAGTGCCATATTCAGTCTAACAAATTTAGTACTTTAGTTTATGAAACAGATTTTCTTCGCCTTCCTGATCCTCACAACCCTTCTCTGCCACACAAATATATGCACAAACCAATGCAAATAGGCAAGGAAGCGCGTCAAAACCAAAACACTTAAAGCTGCGCATCCTAGCTCACTTGAAAACAAAGACATTCCTACTGAGACTAGAAAACGTACTTATTTTAGCTGACAGCCAAGGCCGCCATCTTTCTTCCATTCTCAGTAGGAAGTTACCCTCCAACTACTCAGTCTCATCTATTTTTAAACCTAACGGGAGGTTTGCAAACGTAACTGCAGAGTTGGACATTCACACAAAGACACTGACCCATCAGGGCATAGTCATTATCATAGGATGGCAGAATGACATTAATTCGGGTGGTTACTTTACACCTGAACATGTAAACAAATTACAACGAGCCGCCTAAAACACTAACATTGTAGTCTCAACTCTGCCCTTCTGGTACAACAGGCCAACACTATGTAGCGAGATTAAGTACGCAAACCAACAATTAAAACTGCAACTGAGAGAAACAAATGTTACACTTTTTTGAAATGAATTTCCTCTCAGAAAAACACTTCAACCGGCATGGTCTCCAAATGAACCTGGCTGGAAAACATACAGACGTCAACAAGCTTGCACAACACATCAACTCCAGTCCTACGCAGTCTCCTGCCAAAAATCTATCCCTTTCACGACCTTACGTTCTCCACCCCCACCCTTATTTCGAACCTACTTACCTCCTCCTCTGATCCTTCTCCCGATACCAATTCTACACCTGATGCCTGTTTCCATACAACCTGTCATTACAGGGACACACTACAACCTTCGATCACGTACTCGAGGTAAAAATGGAGCAACTACAGTCAGATGTAGTAGAAAAACATTCGTGTAGGTACTTGAAAAATATAAACATACTGCACCATAATGTTCAATTCCTTTCAAATAAAACAGTTTATTGAAGCAGCTCTACAGAGCGATTTAAATCAGATGAATGTTTTTTGCTTTACAGAACGTTGGTTATTTGATAATGAACTAATTATTTTCCAAATTCCCAACTTTTACCTCGCAGGCTATTATTGTAGAGAAAACGAATCACATAATGGTCATGCATATGGTTTCTTGCTTTTCGTTCCAATAATATCGATTCTATTTCCTTGACTGAATTAAATGTGTATTCCGTTGAAAATGTTTTTGAAATGTGGTAGTAACTTCTTCCTACGCTAAAAATTACATACTTCGACATCTACAGGCCTCCTACAAAAAGAGCAGATAGATATTATTATGTTCTTAAAACAACTGGAATAACACTAAATTAAAGTCACCAATGCCCTTTTGAATCCATTGTTATGTGTGCAATTTATCACTGATTTTCTGTCGAACTTCGAGAAAGCAGTTGCTTAATTTAATCATTCCTTAGTTAAGATATTACAATAAATGTGCCGTACACGATTTCACATAAATTCAAAGAAGCAATCGCATCAAATATTTGAGAGCGTAGGCTTCAGCGGCCGAGTCAGTATTTACTGGCTGTCCGGTGACGCCGCGTCATGCGAGACGTGCGCAGGCATTAGACCTGAGAAGTCGCAGAATGGCGACCGCAACGTCGCGCACCTGCCATGGACGTGACGTCACCCCGACAGCCAGTAAATACGATAAATATTAACAAACCACTTACTCGATATGAAATTAAAACAAAAGATTTAGGATACCAGTGAATAAACATGCCCAATTTTGACTAATATATGAAATTCGCGAACACTGACACAATTAAATAATTCACGTATGAGTAGATTATTACTAAACAGTAAAATAAAATTATTCATCAATTAACTGCTGCAAAGTCATGGGACGCGGTTTACAATACTGTTGACACAAACGATAAATAAAATATTTTTTCAACGCTTTCATTTCGAGTTCAAAATTTGCTTTCCTCTATCAAAAGAGGAATAAATACTTTCACGAAAAGCAGTATTCTTGGTAACACGAGGATTAAACATCATTGTAAAAACAAACAAAATTCTTTCTTTATTACATAAAACGATTAAATTCATACAAAAAGTTGGGTTCCAGTAAATATCGTTTCTTGCTCACAACTGTTTCTATACAATTAGGATACTATTACCGAGCTTCCAAAAGGGATGTAATATAATTGTAACAATGCATTTAATGTATTTTATACCAATGTGGATTGTAATATTGTAAGAACCTGTCTAACACAAATATTGTAATTCAGCTTCTGGTCATGCGCCCCCATCTCGATCAAGGTTTCGTCCAGTTTTCCTGATGCTCGAGCAACTGATGAGATGGCCCCTTGTTTGGCTTCTGGACATAATGTAACTTCGCATTCTCCATAGCACGTCACACGCAGTTCTTAACGTAAATAAATAAAAACTTGGACACGCGTACGCAAGTGTCACAATTCCGTGCGCGGGAACAACTTCTCAAACTCATTACTGACGAATGAAATGCCTCCGTGAAAAGAATCTTAACATATAGAGTAGTATCTCTCTCCTTTGTCGTAACACTGCCAATTCGGATTTACTAAATTTTTACTACTTCTATGTTCACGGAAAAAACAGGTGGCAACAAGCTGGCCCGCCCACCATAGCAGAACAAACTGTCGCGTCGTAGCAGTCGCCTTGTACAAACGTACCAAAATCAGCACACGTGCATTTCATGCTCATGGACAGCCTGCGGGAGAGACGCCGGGGCTCAACAATGGCAAACCTACGATCGAATGGAATGAGTGCCGTGGGTAGCACTCGTGAACCCCGTAGACACTGCGGCAAACTTGGGAACCCCGTAGACAGGCATATGCGAAAACGCGTTGGCGGAAACAGCGAGATGATGCAGTTCGTCATCGTCCAGACTAATATAACGGACACCGGACCTAAACTCCTTCTGATTCTTGGCGCGTCGGTAGGAGTCGTGTGGGTGTCGCGGCGCTGCATTTTAATGTATAGGTTACTGAGACAGGGAACCGAAGCCGGCGTGCTACGTCGAAGACGGGAGGTGCGGCATACTCTCTGTATGCTCACGTATGCTACTGGTGCATCACACCGAAACAAGATATCTAATTATCAGGCCAGCCGGTGGTGGTAACCAGGAACATTTCTTCTAGTAACGGGTCAATATTGCTGTATTGTAATTATTTTACATTGTACAGTATTAAAGTGTTGGAGCATTTTTTCCAATAAATACTAAATAAATTACAAACCGTTCACGTCTGTGATTTATTGCCCCGGCAAAGACGCTCAATACCAAACCAGAACCAGAATATTTTACTATTTAATATCTAGTTTATACAAATTAAACCAATTTTTAATGTTCATCTTCGTGGAAGAAAACGGGTGTCCGGCTAGCGTGAAATCAAACTGGCCAGCCCACCATAGCCAAATCAAACCAAACTAAACCTTTTCAACTTCAAAAAGAGACCGAACAATTTCAAAATAGGTA